GTGCCTCCTTGCTGCATATCTTACACCTAGCATTTTAGCACTTCAGAAAAATTGCCTGCTCCCTTTCCTTCACAGAGAGAATTCCTCAGAAAGGAAAACAATAATAAAAAAAAACCCCAATTCCTTTCTCCATCCCTCCCTCCCTCCCTCCCACACAGATTCCATCTAAAGTTCGGCCCAACTCTTCTGACCGAGGCTTCCCGAACAGCACAAAGCTGAGTCCTCCTCCCGATAAACCCTTTTTAGTTCATTTACAAAGAATTTCCTTTCCAGCAAAGTCCCGGCCAACCGTCTTTCAAGATAGCTCCCAATTACAGACCTTTATCAGGCTTGGAGAGGCGCCAGGCCAGTATCTTTCAGGTGCCACAATACTTAGCAAGCATGAACTAAATTGTCTCCTGGAAAGCCCCACTCCCCTTTCGCTCCTCTTTTATTCACCATCCACTGTAGCTTTACTCCCAAGTCGGCCTTTGTTCCTCAGCTGTTCCCTTCTCCCGGCAGCTCTGTGCATGCGCACACTGGGAACAGGCTCCAGCTGTTCTTCTGCCTCACTGATCTCCGACTCCGAAGGCAGCTGATTAACTGTCGGACAGCCCTGGACCCATCTCTGCCTCTGAGGCAGAGCCCTCATCAGAGCCTTCCCCAGACTTCAGGACTGGCCCACGTTCCTCCACAACCTCCTCACTGTGTCATGCCTCTGTTGGGAGTCTGACTCTGAGGGAGAGGACAAACGGGGAGTGGAAGTGTGGCTCTGGAGGTTGTGGAGGAAGCTGGGGAAGGGGAGAGGCTGGCTGGGCATTCAGAGGAAGACCCAGGCCCATCCCCTCTTCATCCTAGGTCATGCAGGGAGGAGAGGTTAAGGGAGAAACGTGAATGGCGTGGTCTACGAGGGAGGAAGGGGCCCTGATTCCCTTCCTGGGCTGCAGCTCTGAGGACGGTTTATATGGACAAACTGCGCATGGGCCAGTGCTGGAAGCAAAGCACGTTCTATCCTTGTCGGAGCAACTTACCTAAGAAATGGAGGGCGTTTCGCAGCACCTGATATGCACTCATCATTTTGCTGATCTTGTGGGTGGCCAGGAGGTATCCCACCAGCATGGAGGCCATGAAGCCGTTGAAACATCCCAGACCCTGGGAAACGGTGAAGGAAGTGAAAAGTTAACACAAACGCATACCTTCCGTCCACAGCCCAAAACACACAGGGCTCATAATCTTGATTAAAACAAAAAAAAACTTAATGCCACCTAATGCTCGTGCATCGTTTGCACTTCTTTGCACAGAACCACAAACCGATCTCAGCTTTCGACACGCAGGTCACACCTTCCCTTTTCTCCCTGCCTACAAATTCTTCCTTCTGGTGGAAAGAGTAGAGATATGTGCGGTCCGCAGTGCTCTCCGATTTTGCTTGCTTGCTTGCGGACATTTCATCACCCAACTAGGACACGTCATCAGTGCTTAAGGGGAGTGGAGACAGGTCAGGTAACAGATAATCAGAGTTGGGAGGGACCTTGTAGGTCATCTAGTCCAACCCCCTGCCCAAGCTTGAGACCCTACACCATTTCTGACAGATTACAGTCCAATCTCTTCTTGAAAGTTTCCAGCGATGATGCTCCCACAATTTCCAAGGGCAACTTCTGTTCCATGGATGGATTGTTCTGTCAGAAAATTCCTCCTTATTTCCAGGTTGAATCTCTCCTTGGTCAGTTTCCATCCATTATTCCTTGTCTGGCCTTCAAAAGTGCTTTAGAAAATAGCTTGACCCACTTCCTCCTCTCTTGGGCAGCCCCTCAAATATTGGAAGACCGCTATCATGTCTCCCCTGGTCCTTCTCTTCCCTAGACTAGCCAGGCCCAGTTCCTGTAACCGTTCTTCATATGTTTTAACCTCCAGTCCCCTCATCATCCTGGTTGCTCTTCTCTGTACTTTTTCTAGAGTCTCAACATCTTTTTTATAACGTGGTGACTGAAACTGGATGCAGTACTCTAGGTCAAATCGCTTCTATATAAACAAGAGGGCAAAATCCCACTCCCTTCCAGCACTGGTGACGTTACCTACTTTGGTCATGAAACGCCTGCAAAAAATCACCCAAGCTCAGCAAGCACCAAGGACTGCACACCTCTGATTTAACCCATTCAAAAGCAACACCTCTTTCCCCCCCCACACACAGACACACAAACGGCGAGTTGAAACGAAGAGACAAGTAGCTGCTATAGTTTCAATCCTTGACAGAAACCTCAAAAGAGCTTCTGTGCTTTGACCCATTTCAACCAGTCCACCAGTTTACCTGATGAAGCTCTCGCTGCCGGAGCCAAACTTTGAGGAGGGCCACACCGCCCTGGAAGCCCCGGAAGGCGCTGGCCGCCTCAGAGAGGTAGACCAGGTTAGTCTCCATCGCCAGGTCCCACAAAATGGAGTTGTTGTAATGGGGAGTGGGGGGCTCGGCGACACCTGGAAAGAAGCAAAGAGGCTGAGGACCATCTCACCTGGATGCCGACAAAAGGGTTCTTCGGACCAACTTCCTGTTAAAGGCCCCTCACATCCTGGACATAAACTGTTTCAACTCCTTCCCTCAAAATGACGCGATAGAGCCCTGCACACCAGAACAACTAGACCCAAGGAGAGCTTTTCTCCGAACGCCATCACTCTGCTAAACAAATAATTCCCTCAACACTGTCCAACTATTTACAAAGTCTGTACTACTATTACTATTAAACTTCTCATCACTCCTTATCACCCATCCTCTCCCATTTGTGACTGTATGACTGTAACTTTGTCGCTTGTATCCTTATGATTTATATTGACTGTTTCCTAGTATGATTTGATTGCTTATTGTACCCTATAACTATTATTAAGAGTTGTACCTAATGATTCTTGATGAATACACCTTTTCTTTTATGTATACTGAAAGCTTATGCACCAAAGACAAATTCTTTGTATGTCCAATCACACTTGGCCAATAAATAACTCTATTCTTTCTTTCTTCTTTCTTTCTTTCTCTCTCTCTCTCTCTCTCTCTCTGATTTGATTGCTCATTGTACCCTATGACTATCATTAAGTGTTGTACCTGATGATTCTTGACTCTTGACAAATGTATCTTTTCCTTTATGTACACTGAGAGCATTTGCACCAAGACAAATTCCTTGTATGTCCAATCACACTTGGCCAATAAAAAACTCTATTTTTCCTTTCTTTCTTTTTTTCTTTCTTTCTTTCTTTCTTTCTTTCTTTCTTTCTTTCTTTCTTT